CCCTCAAGGAGCTTACATTTTAAAGGAAGAGATCACAGGTATATAGAAGGAAGGGACCCTTTGAGGAGAAGGCATTAGGAACTGGGTGAATCAGGAAAAGCCTCCTGTAGAAAGTACCATTTAAGCTGAGTCCTGAAGAAAGCCAGCAATGCTAAGGTAAATAGAGAGTATGCCAAGGATAGGAGACAATGCAAACGTTCAAAAAGGGAAAATGGAATATTGTGTGGGAGGAACAGCAAGTAGCCCAGTGTCACTAGACTTTATTTAGAGGATAGTAATGTATAAGAATACTGGAAACGTAGGAAGAAGCCATATTGTGAAGAGCTTTATGTAACAAACAGGAGCTGATATTTGCTCTGCATGGCCATACGGAGCCACTGGAGTTTACTGAATAGAGTGACATGGCGAGACCAGGAGTTTTGAAAATCATTTTGACTCCTGTATAGAGGGTAGATTAGAGTGTGGAGGAATTAGAAGGCTGTTGAAATAGTCTAAGCAAGACATGGTGAGGGTGTCTGTGAGAAAGGAGGAAAGGTGATGTGTCTGAGAAACGTGGAGAACAAGATAACAGGATTTGGTAACATTATATATATATATATATATATATATGTAATATATTATGTATATTTATATACATATACATAACACACACACATATATAGTGTCAATCAGAGTAAGGAATTTAGGAGGACACTGAGGGGTGGAGCTTGGGTGATTAGTAGGATGGTGCCCTTAAATGTAAGAGGGAAGGGCAACTAAGTGGCATGGTGGACAGAGTACCAGCCCTGAAGTCAGGAGGACCTCAGTTCAAATCCAGCCTCAGACACTTACTAGCTGTGTGACCCTGGGAAAGTTGCATAACCTCTGTTTGCCTCAGTTTCCTCATCTGTAAATAGGGATAATGATAAGGGAAGATGGTCAAGAATGTCAAACATAGCAGAAAGGTCAAGTATGAGGACTGAGAAAAGTCAACTTATTTTGGCAATTCAGAGATCATTGGTAACTTTAGGGAGAAAGTTTAAGTTGAATAATGAAGTTGGAAGTCAGATTGCAAAGGATTTGGAAGACAGTTGACAGTACAAGAAATGAAAGCAGCAAGTGAGGATGGCATTTTCAAGTTTAGTTAAGAAGGGAGAAGGAGAAAAGAGAGATAATGGACATTGCAGGGTCTAAGGAGGGTCACTTTTTTGAAGGGTGGTTGAGAATTGGACGTGCTTGAAAGGAACAGGGAAGGAATGAATAAAAACCAAAGATTAGAGAGAGTGGAGATGATATTAGGGCATTATGCCAGAGAAGATAGTAGGATGGACTCAAGGGCACATATAGAGGAATTGTAGTTGGCAAAGAAAATGGCCACCTTTTCATCAAAGACTGAAGGAAAGGAAGAGTTAGTAAGGAGTTATGGCAGAGGATTTGGAGATATGGAAAAATAGGTAAGAAAGATCTCTTGGTGAAGGTCACCAAATTTTTTTGGTGAAGTATGAGACTAGATCCTTAGTCGAGAGAGAGAGAGAGAGAGAGAGAGAGAGAGAGAGAGAGAGAGAGAGAGAGAGAGCATGATAGATAACAGAATCTGCATTAGCCGATAAATTTGGATTGAATGAACCTCAAAGGAAGAGAGGTTGATGAATTATAATGGTACAGTGAAAGTCTGGGAGTGGCAGTGGGGATCAAGGAGTATTTTGAGCTGCAACCAATGAGTTGAAAGTATGAGAGAAAGTACAACCAGCAATGAAAGGAAGTCAAGGATGTATTATCTTCCATAGGGAGTCAGGTATCATTGAGTGCCAGAAGTTGAAAAGAAAAAAGGATTAAATGGCATAAAATGAAAGGGAACAAGGGAAGAGGTGGGAAGATGTGGAGTAGGACATTGTGTCAGCCCTCACCTGCTTAGCCTGTCATGATGTGTCCTAGGGGGCTTCAGGAAACCTTTCGTGGAAGGCACGAACAAGAGATAGTGCAGTCCTAGCTGGAAAGAAGGAGCTTTTGTGTCTCAGGGCCAGCTTATGGAGGCAAGCATGAGCAGGATCCCTAGTGTGTTGTGGCCCTGGGGCACCCTGACACTCAGGAAGCAGGAGGTCCCAATTCATGATAGCCAGGAATGAAGGGTGGGTGGGTAGGTGGGGGGCAGAGCTGAAGAATTCAGGGAAGGTGATTGAAGGGCTCCGGAAAGGCTCTAAAAGTCTTAAAAGTTGCAAGAACAGTTGTCTCTTTTCACCTTAAAAACAACCACAACGGGGACTTAGCATTGGTTTTCACCTAAGTCTTCTGACATTGTGATTGCCTGTTTGACACATTGTAATAATAGGAGTAATAGGAGGCTATTACTCAATTTCAATTTCAACAAATGTCTTCTTAAGCTAGGGTGTGTGAACTTTTTGTTTGTTTTAAATTTGATAACTGTATTTCCATATATTTGATTTCCTTTATAATCAGATGTATTTTACTTTATGCATTTAAAAACATTATTCTGAAAATGGCTTCAACTAAGACATACATGAACTGATGCTGAGTGAAGTAAGCAGAACTAGGAGAACATTGTACACAGCAACAGCAACATTGTGTGATGATCAGCTATGATAGACTTAGCACTTCTCAGCAATACAACGATCCAAGATAATTCCAGAAGATTCGTGATGAAAAAAGCTATAGACATCTAGAGAAAAAACTATGAAGTCTGAATGCAGATCAAAGCATACAATTTTCGCTTTTTTTTCTTTTGTGGTTTTTCTCTTTTGTTCTGTTTCTTCTTTCATAACACGACTAATGTGGAAATATGTTTAACATGATTGCACATGTAGGACCTATACCAGATTGCTCATCATCTTGGGGAGGGAGGGAAGAAGGGGGGGAGAAAAAAATTGGAACTCAAAATCTTATCAGAAATGAATGTTGAAAACTATCCTATATGTTATTGGAAAAAATAAAATAATATTAAAAGAAAAAAATGAGGGGGCAGTAGGTGGCACAGAGCTCCGGCCTTGGAGTCAGGAGGACCTGAGTTCGAATTCGGCCGCAGACACATAACACTTACTAGCTGTGTGACCCTGGGCAAGTCACTTAACCCATTGCCTCTTCAAAAAGAAAAAAAAAATTAAAAGGGCTTCGCTGAAATATTATTCTGAGATAGGCTTCACTGGATTGCCAAAGGAGTCCACAGTACATAAGAATGGCTTACGGAGTGGCAGGCATTAAGAATACAAAGCCAAAAATATAAAGATGGGCCCATACCCTCAGTGCAGTAAAATGTGGAAAAATACATAATTTAATTAAATACAAAGGAGCATTTTGGGGAAGGGTGGGGATAGTGAGTATTAATGACTAAAGAGATTAGGAAAGGCCTGATGTTCCCTGGAGGGGAGACCTGAGCTAGACAAAAGGACTGGAAATTGTAGCTTAGAGAGCTGGGGCAGGTTTAACTTCCACACTCCACTCCGTCTCCTGACTAAGGGCGTTTTTGCTGGCTGTCCACTGTGCCAGAAACTGACTCCCTCTTCATCACCACCTCCTAGATCCCTCGGCTTCCTTGAGGTCTCAGCTAAAGTCCCTCCTTATACAATTGCTTTTCGCAGTCTTCCTCATTCGGAGGTGTAGGGAAGCTCAAATGATATAATGGATGTAATACACTTTACAAACCTTAAATGCTATACAAATGCCAGTTACTATTATCAGCCTATAGCTACCACCTAGGCCAATGCTGACTTCATTCCTTGAGCCTTCTGCTGTACTCTTGCTGAGCTCAAGTGATGTTTATAGAGCAATACAGAGGCATGCTGTTAAATATGTAACAACTTGGCTTAAAAAAAGAAAAAGAGCATGCACACACTTCTAAGTTTACTCTGCATAATTAACAATTTCTTAAGTCTAGACAATCAACAAAACAACAAATCAAGCCCTGATTTCTGAGGTGTAAATGCTCACCCTGGAAATTTAACAAGCTGTCAAGCACTTGGGACCTGACAAGCACACTAGTGTCTTCCTTCTGAGATTATTTACAGTTGTCAACAGACAATCACAACTTCACAAAATTTACATGGAAACTAGGTTTATTAAAAGATAAATGAACATGCATGTGCAATCCAAAGAGCTCACAATCCATACAGAAGTTTGTATTTTTATAATAGCAGGACAAAGGAAGGAGAGATACCAGAAATCTTCACCTAAAGGGGCATGGCGTGGGAGGGCGAAAGGTGAAGTAAAGGTGGGAAAAGGACAAAACCGCTCCCAAAGGGGAGGAGCAAGGCAATGGCAAAAGCCACAGTCTTTTCTCTTGGGAACTGCTAGACCGTGAAGATAGAAAGGAGGGTCGGCTTATCTTCGAAGGACCCTAGCTGCATGAGCACTTTCTTAGTCTAGTGCAGACAGAGAAAATCATTCATCTCAGTTTACTCTGTATATTTCTTATTTTATATGTATTTCTGTTTTCATGTTGGCTCCCTTCTTAGACCAGGAGGTCCTTGAGAGCAGGGTTTATTTGTTTGTCTGCTTTTCTTTGTATTCCCTAGCCCTTAGCACAGTGCCTAACACATCTGTTATTGTTGTTGTTCAGTCCTGTCTTACTCTTTGTGAGGGCTTTCTTGGCAAAGATACTGGAATGGTTTGCCATTTCCTTTTCAAGTGTGTCCCCATTTTACAGATGAGGAACTGGGGTGAATAGGGGTTAAATGACTTGCTGAGGGTCACAAAGCTAATAAGTAAGTGTTTGAGGCCAGATTTTAAACTCAGATCTTCCTGATTCCAAGCCCCATCCTCTTTCTACTATACCCCCAATTGCCTAACACTAGTAGGTGATTAATAAATGCTTCTTGGCTAATTGACTTATAATGATGATTTATTGAATTATAAACGTTATCATTTGTTGAGTTCCCATTTGTACCCAGCACCGAATGCATTTTTTTATGACAACAGGAAAAAAAGCTTTCAGCATAACCTATGTGTCTATAGTACAATACAAGAAATTGCAGTGAATTTCTAACGTGGTAATATTTTTATTTTAACAGCTAGACCAAGCAACTCTCTCCTTAGCAGTGAGGGAAGATTACCTTGATAACAGCACAGAAGCTAAAGCTGTAAGTTGTTTTCTACCTTTCATTGCCTGTCTTTGCCGAGTGGGACACTCTTTTCAAGTTCATAGTTCAGAATTAGAAGTGGACTATGCTGCTACCCTGAGCTGGAAGCAGTAGAATCTACCATTCTAGATTCTTTATGTAGGAAGAAATATTGGCTTCTTCTGGCTTTGGTCTTTTAGAAGACATGGTTGTCTGAATTATATTAGTCCCTTTCCTCAAAGAGATTCTTTCTCTTTTTAAATTTACAATTTTGTTATTTTATTCTGAACTTAAACATACCACCCTCTCCCCTAAATAAAGGTTCCTTTCCATTCACACAGCAGAATAATAATTAAAAAAGGATTCTATAAGAAATCGTGACTAGAGGGTTTTTTTCCCTGCAAAGGAAACAGGGGAATATTCCAAGTAAATGGAATAGATGAGAGAGTCCATTAGCAGATACAAATGAGAACACAGTAGAAACTAAGTTCCTAAGTGCTGAGGGAATTCTTAATAGAGCAGGGAAGAGTCAGGTGGCATTAACCAAGCAGAACTTCCTGGGTCAGCCTAATCTGAAGAGTGCCTGAAGATTGGGTTAGAGCTAGAAAACTTTAAATACTTGGGGAGATTCTTCTAAGACTCCAAATGAATTGAATAACCTCCAGAAGATGTTTGATCTTTCTTTTCCTGTTAATCCCCTCCCCCCCCAAGCTATCATGATTGCAGATCTAGTGTAAGACAGTACTGAACTGGAGGAAAATAAAAGCTTGCTTTCCCCCCTCTTCACCTGCCCTTCCCTGGATACTTGAGATAGCTTTCTAGTCTGGAGAAAGAGTTCAAATCCGAGACTCACCAGCTTTGTGACAAATACTGAAGGCAGGGGCCAGGTGCCTTTCATTTTGGAATTGAATGGAATGAACATCTGCTGAGCTGTGATTTCCCTTAATGTTCATGAAATGTACTAAATGCTACCTCACCTTTTGGCTGAGGGTCTGTTGGAGTGGAACCTGTACAATGACATATTTCCTTTTACCCAGATAGAAAGGATTTCAAGAGTAAGAAACCCCAGATTTAGAAAGGAAGGTAGCTGCTTGAACTCAAGGGATTCCTCCTTTATTTGCCAGACTATTAAGTTCTCTCAAAATAATGTATCAGGAGTACAATGGAGCTTTTATGGATATTCATGGAGCAAATTTTAATGTTTCGTTGGAGGCCTACCTTCTTCTTGGCCTCTTCTGAGATGAGAACTAGGTTCCTTGTGAAAATGAATTTTTCACAAACTAGAACAAAAACAGAGCAGAAAAAAAAACAAAACCCCAAAACAAACCCAAAGCACCAAAAAACAAACCAGGAAAACAAACTACATCTTTAGTTTATGTATTGGTGTTAGGTTGGTGAATCAGTTCCCCACAGTCTTCCATGCTGTTAGATCATGCTTCCTTTTAGATACCATCACTCTTCATCATTTTATTAAGATTTCATTTTCTTGGAAAGAGGACTTTTGAACTTTTGATTATTATTCTGGATTTATTTAAAATTGTTCAAACCTATTACATCCATTTGTATGTATCTAATAACAAGTATCATACGTTTCTGGAAAACTAATTCTCATTGATTTGTGATGGCTGACTACCCCTGTCTCCCATGGCAACAGTCCATGAGTGGTTATCAGTTGTCTCTTTCTCAAAGTGGTGGGTGGATGAGTGGGTGGTGTTACATAAGGTTGGCACCGGCAGTGCTGGCTGGAAAGCGTAAGGTATTTATTTCAATTAGTATTTCTGCCCTCCATCCTAAGAGATTGTTGTCATGATCACTTGGCTCTCCATTTTTTTTTCCAGTACCGAGATGCCCTTTACAGGTTCATGGTGGATACCGCAGTGCTTTTGGGTGCTAATGTCTCTCGAGCTGAGCATGACATGAAATCAGTGCTCAGGCTGGAAATTAAAATAGCTGAGGTGAGTAAATAAAAGGTACCATTGGTAATGTTGCTAAAAAGCTTGGTTTAAGAAATAGGTCTTGAATTTATGAGACATACTTGCTCAAAGAATCTATTGGACATCAACACTGCACCTTGTAGCATCCCTTTTGTATTCGAGAAGACACTGGCAGGCCATCTCCAGTTGTCCTGATCTATATCTGGACACTGGACTCAGAAGGCTCTGGAGGAGAAAGTGAGGCTGGTGACTTTGCACAGCCCTCCTTCACTTAAATCCAATTCACTTGCAAGTCATGGCATCACCTTCCTGATGTCATGGTCCTCTTCAAGAACAAAGGACAAGCAACAAACAAGAGGAAGACACTGGCACCACACCTTCCTGGGAGTAGGCAGATACTTTCTCCCTTGTTCTCTCTACTTTTATGTTCCTGGCCGTACCTGTGCCAAGGCTTAGCTGTAGTGAGAGAATGTATACATCACTGTCTACAGAAGCACTGCGGCGGTATACAATGGCAAGCAGGAGAACTGCCTATGGAGATTTTCCATACGTGTGAGGAAAGCACAGTGCTAGGCAATTAGACGTGGTGGGTCTTTAGCAAATACCTGCTAACACAGGAACAAGGAAGAATCAGACCCCTTCATCCAACCCCATTCTTGATCCCATTACTTCACAGGAAGGAGCCTGGGTATAGATCTTGGTTTGGGAGGGATAGATCAACAAATACTGAATGGATCATTGTGATGGAGAGTATGAGGGACCCAAGCTGCTGGCTTTGTTCGCAGCTCTTTACCAACAGAAGTATGAGGGAGAAAATTCCAAGAGATTTATGGGTCCAGTGGGAGCCAATACGATTAAATCTAATTATGGAGACCACCTCTGATTCTAGGTGGAAAAAAAGTAATTTTTAATAAGTAGATTTTTGAATACAGCTTTGTTACAGTTATTCTGAGTTTTGGCAACTTTTCTGAAGTGCCTTGTCAAGTCTGTATTCATTCCCTTGTGAGGGGTGGAGAGGACACTGACAGGCTGGCCACGACTCCAGTCCCCACCATGACCTGAACACACCAACCTCCACAATCCTATGTGTTGCTGCAGGAATGATAATCTGGCAAGCCTGTGTGTCATGGATTTTTGACCTTCTGGTTTACCCTCTATTTTCTACTACATGCTTATAGGGCTCTGCTTATAGTAGAACTGCAGGTGTCTAAGTGTGATTGATTCTGATTTACATCAGAGGCCACCGGGGCAGAACTTGGCAGCTGGCTGCCACTTTCCCCCACTCTATGCTCTGTTTTCAAAAATACATGGGCAACTTGACTGCATTCCATTGGGAGAGTCTGATTTTCTGCTGCTGCCTAGACATAGTTATCCTTAACTAATGCCCTTTGTACCACTAGGGAATTAAAAAGGAAGTAAAATATATGATCATACCTCTTGAGGAGCTTTACAGGCTAAGGGGGGAGGGAAAGTTAAGCCAGGGTAGCACATGTAAATCCTTTTAAACAAAATTATGGAAATGTGTGTATAGAATCAATGACAGATGTACATTTAGTATGAAAAGGCTTCATGGACGAGATCCATTCATCCATCCATCTATCCATCCATCCATCCATTCATCTATACATCCATCCATCCATTTATTCATTCATTGAGGCTGCTAGGCAGCATAGTGACCAGAGTGCAGAGCCTAGAATTAGGAAGACCTGAGTTCAAATCTAGCGTTAGATGCTTACTAGTGCTGCAGTCTTGGGCAAGTCACTCACTTTGTCTCAGCTTCCTAATTGCAAAATGGGGATCATAATAGCACCTACTTCCCAAAGGTGTTGCGAGAATTAAATGAGATAGTAATATTCATCCACTGCATCCTGGCCCAGCAACAGTCATCTTGACATTTGTCTTGCCACTGGACTTCTATGATTCTAGAGAAGAGAGTGAGGCTGACGACTTTCTGCAGCTCTGCTTCACTTAAATCCAATTCAAGGGCAAGTCTAGATATTGCCCTGTAATGTCATTGGTCCTATTCGAGAATGAAGGACAAACAACAACAATGACAACAATTTGTAAAGTGCTTAGCACAATTCCTAGCATAATAATAGATGTTTAAAAAATACTTCTTTCCTCCCTCTTTTCCTTCTTTCCTTCCTTCCTTCCTTCCTTCCATAATATTAGTGCCTGCTATGTGCCAGGAAGCATGCTAGGCACTAGAGATTCTTTTTTTTTTTTTAAGGCAATTGGGGTTAAGTGACTTGCCCAGAGTCACCCAGCCAGTGTCTGAGGCCGTATTTGAACTCAGGTGGTACTAGAGATTCAAAGACAAAAATGGACTAGTCTTTGCTCTCAGGGAGCTTGCATTCATGGATAGGTGATTTAGAAACAACATAAGAGGAAATAATATGCCTATAGATAAATAAAAGGCATAGATATAAAATGTACAAAATAAGTACTAAATATTTGGGAGGAGGGTTCAGGAAAGACCTCTTTTAGGAGGCAGTACTTGAACTGATCCTTGAAGGTGAGGGGTTTTAAGAAGCTGAGGCGAGGAGGGAAAACATTTCAGGCAGGGGAGAGAGCAAAAGCCTGGCAGTGAGAGATGGAATGCCATTTACAGAGAATATTCTATAGTTTAGTTTGGCTGGAATTTAGAGGATGAAGAGGAGTAATGTGAGATCAGTCTTGAAAAGATAGATTGAAGCCAGATTGTGAAAATCTTTCAGGGCTAAAGAGGGGAGTTTGTACTTTTTTCTTGGGGCAATACAGAGGCATTGAAGCAGTTGGATATGATGACCTTCAGATTCCCCGTCAGCTTTAACCTATGATTCTATGATTCTTAACATTGGAATGAACAGGGATGGTCAGAATTGTCCTTTAGGAGTATGAATTTGATAGCCACATAGAGAATGAATTGGAGAGGGAAGAGATTGTATTCAGGGAGACCAGTAATGGTAGTGATGCTGGCCTGAGCTAAGGTGGTAGATATGTCAGTGGAAAGAAGGGGATGGGCATGAGATGTTGGAGATGTAGAATTAACCAGACTTGGTAACTGACTAGATATGGGAGGGGGGTGAGTGAGAGAAGAAGATGACTAAAGTTGGAACCTTGGGCAGCTGTAATGATGCTAGTGCCTTTGTCAGATATAGGGAAGTAGAAGGGAAATGAAAATGAGTTGCATTTTGGACATGTTGAATTGAGAAACTATATGGGAATGTCAGTTGATGATGTGAGACTGGAACTCAGGAGAGAAACTAGGGCTGGATAAATAGATCAGAGACATCTGGACAGAGGTACTAGTTCAGCCTCTAGGATCTGATAAGATCACCAAGAGGAAGGGTCTAGAGAGAGAAGTGGGACTCGTATTTTGGTTACTGGGATCTCAGGTACCATGTATAAAGGGTGGCTCATGGCTGGTGCTCCTGCAAGGGAGACTGAAAATGAGACAGGCAGGCAGAGAATCAGGAGCTATCATCATCTTCTTTTTTTTTTTTATAGGAGGTATCATTATCACAAAAATCCAGGGAAGATTAACTGTGTTACTCTGGGCAAACCCAGGGAATCACATAATCCTGGAAAAGACGATGGCTCATAGTGTAAAACTGCGGAGAAATTAAAATGCATCTCCCTGGAAGAAAATTTTGAAGTATGGGAGGGGAAAAAAGGTGGTGATGGATTGGATGGGTATGAATACATATCTAGGAAGAGAAAATGACTTGTGCAGGATAGTTCAGAGCTAAAATAGGGCAAATTTAGGATGAGATCACCTTAATGTAAGACTCTAAGGCTCTCATAAAAAGAATTTTTTTTTCAAAGGAATACTGGGAGTTATGGTTAGGTAGTGAAGTGGGGACCATTATTGTTAAATATGTTAAATATACGAAGGGCTGGAAGTTTGGTTGCAATGAAAGCAGGACATCCAGGTGATGAATTCATGTAAAGTACAGTGCTTCTGAAACTATAGGTCTCGACCCCATACGGGATTGTGGAAAAAAATTTGGCAAGAGTAAAAGGTTTCAAAATGCACACGACCAAAAATTAATTAAAAATCAAACAGGTGGGGGCAGCTAGGTGGTGCAGTGGATAGAACACCGGCCCTGAAGTAAGGAGGACCTGAGTTCAAATCCAGCCTCAGACCAAACACTTGACACTTAGTAGCTGTGTGACCCTGGGCAAGTCACTTAATCCCAATTGCCTAAAAAAAAAAAAAGTTAAAAAAAAGTAATCAAACATGTAATGAATTTGAGATGCCTGTGGCAGCCCTTACCCAACTTCACTGCAGTTTAGGCTCTGAACGCAAAGCATGCCCTTAGGGCATGCAAATGCAATAAGCGCTGCCAAAAAGTGAAAAGGGGTCACAGAATGGAAGAAGTTTAAGAAGCCTGATGGAGACCGCAGGCAATGAGACAGGAGGGGTGGTCTGCTCTTCTTCAAAATAATTTTCTCCCATTCTAGGAAGGGGGGTGGTCTTATGGGTGTATTGATGATATATTGACATGACGATTATCTGGATAATTCTGATAGGGGAATGTTATAGTAAGATACAGGTCGTAAGACATGGGTTCAAGTCCTGCCTTTGATATAGACTGACTGTGTTACCCTGGGCAAGTCATTTAACTTCTCAGGGCTCCAGGAAAATGCGTAAGACTAGAAATGGTAGATTAGTAGCTGATGTGTATTGTTTCAGAGAGTGTCAGTAGTGGGAAACAGTACTATTCATTGTACTGATAAAATCACATATCTGAATCACTCCACCATCCCCCTTATTCTCACCTCCAGAAATGTTCAGGTGGAAGAGGGGTGTTTACCAGAATTACCTAGCTTCACTTAGCTTTTGAAACCTAGTCTTCTTTAGGTTATAGACATCATTGTCAGAATTTCAGATTAAGTTATCCTAACATGTATGTCTCCTGTTAGTGGAATTTCCTGTTTAATAAAACATGGATTTTTTTTTTAGCTTAGTTCTACCCAAGATGAAGTTTTGGGTGGTGTCCAACTGTGGGAGGAGGGTGGGAGTGTAGGGGAGATGAAGTCTACAAAATAAAAGATGACATAAAAGAAAAGATGGCAAGGTAGGGATTTTTCCAGGAAGGGGTAATAATATGTATGTGACTGGCACAGAGGAAGGCAAGCTTAGCTTGAGGGGATCAATTTAGTTCAATTCAGTAAGTATTTGTTGAGCCTCAGCTATGTGCCAAGCATTGTGCTAGGCACTGAGGAGAGAAGGACAAAAATGAAGCCGCTCTTGGCCTTGAAGGGCTTGCCATTAAAACCCATGATGTGATGAAGAATTTTAATTTGATTGGAATGGGCATTAGAAGCCATAGCTATGTTCTCAGAAGTCACATAGTAAGTCAAAAAAAAGCCCTTTAGAAAAATAATTTGGGTTTGTTTCCAACAGGTAATGATCCCACATGAAAATCGAACCAGTGAAGCTATGTACAATAAAATGAATATTTCTGAACTGAGTGCCATGATACCACAGGTTGGTAAAAAATAATCTGAAAATTTTTCATTTTAAGTGATTGTTTAAAAAAGCAAGATGTGTGAATTTTTTGCTTAGGAAAAATGCCCTTTTAGTCTTTTGTTATTACAGCCTCTGTCAGCAATTAGAGAAATAGGATATCTGCTGGCTTAATTGATTTGGGTGATGCAGCACTGATCCTAGCACATGGAGAAGATGTAGTCTTTCCTATTGTTGCAAATATTTGTAATTGATTTACTTCTATTTGACAGCTCCAGATTCAAATTCAGAGGACCTGTGTTCAGATTCTGACTTTGCCATTGTGTGACCTTGGGCAAATCAGTTCACTTTTTGGGGCCTCAGTTTCCTCATCTGTAAATGAGGAGGTTAGATTAGATAATCCTTGAGGTTCCTTACAGCTCCATATATTCGATCCTATAATTTAATGCTCCTATGATCTTTGTAGAACTTGCCTGGGAGGATGTCCAAGAGAAAGGTGAAAAATGACATTCCTATGTGCTACCAACATCTGTGCAATCCCCAGGAACATGTTCTGTTTTATGTAACAAACAGGTATAGATTTTGAGGAATAGGAGCTCATTTTCAGACTGGATTTATTACCTCTGGAGGAGAGGTATTGCTAGGTTGAATTTCATTTTTACACCAAATTCTCTTGTGGGTACTCAGATTCCCACTTGTAGATTGATGGGATTAAACTAGATGGTATCTGCGGTCTTTTCTGGGTCTGTCATTCTACATTTTTAAACAACTGAATGCATGTGGTCAGCACACTTGCCTTTTTTTTTTCATGGTCCTCAGTAACTAACCTCTGCCTTTTTTTCCCCTTCTCTTTTCAGTTTGACTGGCTCAGTTATATTCAAAAGGTCATAGATACGAAACTCTACCCTGACCTCAAGGACATAGGCCCATCAGAAAATGTGGTGGTCCGAGTACCACAGTACTTTAAAGATCTATTCAGGATACTAGGATCCGAGAGGAAAAAGTAAGGACTTCCTTATGAATTTCCCTTTGTTCAGTGCTAAATTTCAAATCTCTTTCTTGGCACCTTAAAAAAAAAGTTTTAAAAAAGATCGTATTTAGTGAAAATTTAAAGTCATAGGGAAAAATGTGTGGCCCTTTTGGGGAGATGGATCAGGTCTCTACTGCAACATGAGTGTAAGTAATGTGCTCCTGGCAGTGATTACACACCCATGATGTTTCTACCCCAATTCGCAGCCCTCTTGAGTAAAACTTACTTAGATGGCCTAAATTGTTTATTATCTCCCCTGGTGTTTATGGAATGAGTTATGTAATGATGTTATTTTTTCTGTGCTTTGTACAGAACTGTTTCTTTTTAATTTCATTTTGTCCAAGTTTTGTGCTTCTTTCAATTTTCTTGAAGCCAACCCTGTTTTGTAAGGGTCAGCTACTTTGCAACACTAAATAGCCTTAAAAATGAAAAGACAGAAGACCATTATGGGAACCTCTTGATGTATGTGTGCGTGCATGCATAGTGGAGATGAGAAGGCGAGTACAAGCAGCAATAAAGCAATTTCAGGAAGTGTCAGTTTTTTAAAAAATAATAAGATTTAGGATGCATTATTTTGTAACCTTAGTACAAAACAGTGCATGTAGTAACTGCAAATCCTTATGATCCCTAGGATCCCACATATCCCTTAAGCTATTAATATTTGATTGACGATTTAGTCCAGAAAAAGAGCCAGCATTAGATTCTCTCAGATTTTCTTTGCCAACCTTTCTCAGACAGGTGGGGCACAACACAGGGAGTACTGGATTAAGAGTCAGAGGACCTGAGTTCAACTTTAGGCTCTGTCACTTTCTTGTTAAAGGATGTTAAGTAAGTCCCTTCACCTCCTTTGCTTCAGTTTTCACATCCATAAAATGAGGAATTGGGTTAGACAGGTAGGATTTTGGTTTTTTTTTTTTTTTTGGTGAGGCAATTAGGGTTAAGTGACTTGCCTAGGGTCACACAGCTAGTAAGTGTTATGTGTCTGAGGCTGGATTTGAACTCAGGTCCACTGCACCATCTAGCTAACCCCAGCAGGTAGGATTTATAGGGCACTCTAAGGTTAGTAAAGCACTTTACAGATATTATTTCATTTGATCTTCACAGCAACCCTGGGAATTAGGTGCTATTATTAGCCCTCATTTTACAAATGAGGAAACTGAAGCTGAGATAAGTTAAGTGACTTGCTGAGGGAAGGAGGTGGGGCAGGGGGAATCATTAGGTAATAAGCATATTTGGGAGGACTTGCACTCAGGTGTTCCTGATTCCAAGTATAATACTCTCTCTGAGTCCATGATCTCTGAAGGCCTTTCCAGCTCTAAATCTGTGATACTATGAATCTGTCAGATGTTATTATAAAATATCTGGTGTATAAGGCAGCACTTGGTTATTGTCCATTTACCTCCTAGGGAAAATTTATTCTGATTTACTGAAACATAAGTTCCTTGAGGGGTAAGACAATTCCTTTGTTGTATAGCACAGTGCTTGGAAAAACAAAACAAACTAACAAGAATAAATAACAAATACTTATTTTTTAAATTTTATTTATTTTATTCTGAACTTAAGAAATAAAACAAGCATTTCCATAACATAGTAGAATAGAAAAAAAGATTTTTACAAATGGAACTGCAAATCTCTTATGTACAACTTGCTATTCCTTATATATAATATGTATGTAATACATATATATTGCATGAGTAATATATAATAAACTTATCATGTAACTTTCTTTTTTCCCCCTGCCCTGTCCCAGTCTTAGAGATGGCTACCATTAGACACAAATATGTATATATGTAAGATCATCCTATACATACTTCTATTTCTCAGTTCTTTCTCTGTATGCAGATAGCATCTTCCTTCATATGTCCTTTGTAGCTAATTTGGTTATTTATAATAGTTAAAATAACTTATTTACTCAAAATTGCTCTTAAAAGAATATTGCTATTATTGTATATAACATTCTCTTGGTTCTGCTCATTTTACTCTTCATTTTTCAGTGTAAGTCTATCCATGTTTTTTTAAGATCATCAAGCTCATCATTTCTTATTTTTTTAAACTCATCATTTCTTATAGTGCAGTAGTATACTGTGATCATGATTGTATACCATCTTGGCCAGCCATTCATACAACAAATACTTGTACACCTGTGCAATATCTAAATGGAAATGTAATGGCTCTGACTGTCCAGCCGTCTGAAGGAGAAGAAGCATAGTTTAGTGGGAAGAGCACTAGATTGGGTTTCAGGACACAAATAAAATGCTGGAACTGGAAGGGACCTTAGAGATCATTTAGCCATTGGGCTAAATTTTTTGTACCTTTATTGTACCATCAGGAAACAGAGGTCCAGAAATGAAGAGTGATTTGGATCTCTGCCCTTAAATAGCTACATCACCTTGAACAAGTCACTTAGACTCAACGCAAAATGAAAGTTTGGGACTCTCAGATCCTTTGCCCATCTAATATCCTTTGAAACCCAACTAAGACACATTTACTCTTCATGTGACAATGTAGTAACTTGATTTTTAATTTAATTTTTAACTTACCTAGGAATTTCAATGGGAAATAGCTCTCCCTACCACAGTAATGCTTTAGCACTTGATGAATCAGTTTCTCCAAATTCTTGGGTATACTGTCATCGGCTGCAAGTTTGTAGGTGCTTTGGGAAATTGTATTAATATAGTTTCTAAAGGTGTCTAATTTACAACCAGTGGCTAGACTAGGCCCTGGGAGAATTTGATGTATTAGAAAATTCATTTATATGGTAATAATATACTTCAGATTTTCAGGGCTCCTTTTATTTTAAAGAAGGACAAAGGAAGATGGTGAAAGAATAGAATGAGAGAGGATTTTAATCTGGTTCTTGTCAAGATGATAACTTGAACAAATGTAAGCACAGTGAAGTTCAATAGGAAAAACACAGACAGAAAATTTACCCCAGAGAACTACACAACATTCATCCAAACTTTACCTTTAAATATGTGCAAAAAATGCATTCATACAATTATGATTTGACCAGAAGCAGATTCAAAGAGACAGAAATAATTTAGATTCTATGTATTTCAGTGAAATTCTTATTCTCTATGTATTTCCCAAGGTAATGGTAGGGCTTTACATTTATCTTGCACTTTTGCACTTATTGTTTTATTTTGTCTTCATGGGAACCTTTTGTATTAGATAGAATGAGTATTATTATGCCTGACTCACAGGTAAGGAGACTGAGACAGATAAGTGACTGTACTAAGGTCACACAGAGAGTTAATTGTAGCATTGAGATGAACCTGGATCACTTGTCTCTCAACCCCAGGATTTTGTCACATGGTATTCAACTACTATCTGTGTTCAAAGTATGGCAGAATTGAGGACAGATGGCCCCTTGAGAAGTACTTATTTTTGTGTTCTGAAGTAATTCTATCACTTGATTAATAAGCATTTATTAAGCACTTATTGATATCTATCACTAGGCTAGTTGATGGGAATTTTTTGTTGTTGTTCAGTCATACAGTCATGTCTAACTCTTTGTGAACCCAAGGACCATAGCACTCCAAGCTCTTCTATCCTCCACTATCTCCTGAAGTCCGTTCAAGCTCATATTTGTTGCTTTTATGACACTATCTATCCATTTCATCCTCTGTTGTCCCCTTCTCCTTTTGCCTTCAATCTTTCCAAACATCAGAGTCTTTTCCTATGAGTTCTGTCTTGTCATTATGTAGCCAAAGTATTTAAGCTTCAGCTTCAGAGTTGATGGAAATACAATGATAAAAATGAAATGTCAGAGACACATGGAAAGACTTTTATGAACTAATGCAGGATAAAATGAGCAGAATCAGAACAATTTATACTAAAATATCAATACTTATAAAAATGAACAACTGAAGTCCCAAGAACTCTGATCAATTAAGTGATCATTCATAATTTTAGAGGACTGATAAAGAAGAATTGCTGTTTACCTCATGACAGAGAGATAATGGGTTAATATGCAGAGTGATAAAGGCATTTTTGTATGTGACCAATGTGACAATATTTTTTTTGATAGTACTTATGTCATTTGGAGCTCCTTTCTTCTCCAGTTAGGAGAGGAAAAAGTCTGATAATCGGAAATATGTATATTTATATATGTGTACATACGTGTATATGTATATATATATGTGGAGAGAGAGAAAGAAAGAGACATAGAGAGAGAGAGAGAAAGAGCAGACTTGAAATTTCATTATATAGGGAACTACTGTGTGAGGAAGTGCCCTCTATGATGTGGGTTGGAGATGAGAGAGAGAGAGCGTTACGTGTGATGAACTGCAAGAAAGCCAGTCAGGCTGAACTTAAGAGTATGTGAACAGCAGTATAATAAACCTGGAAAGGTAGATTGAGTTCATGTTGTGAAAGGTTTTAAATGCCAAACAGAGGAATTTGTACTTGATTTGAGAGACAATAGGAGACCACTGGAGTTCACTGAGTGGAGGAGTGACATGGTCAGACCAGTATTTTAGAGAAATATCCTCAGCAGCTGAACTGTATGGAAGATCATTTTGAGAGAGGAGAGGCGTGAGAGGGAGACCAGCTAGGAGTTTATTGCAATGGTCCAAGCAAGAGGGGATGAATGCCTGAACTAGGGTTGTGGCTTTGTGAGTAGAGAGGACAGATGGGAGAGGTGTTGTGGAGGGTGAGTGGACTGGAATGGGTAGGAAGGGGAATAAACATGTATATACCACCTACTACATACCAGCTGCTGTGCTAAGAGCTTTACAAAATTATCTCATATAATATCTCATTGAATATACAAGATTTGGACGCTTTCGAATGGATCCAAGTCTGTTCTAGTTCCTACCTACCCATTTACTGTTTCTTGGTTACTCCCATCACTACCACTGCTGACTCTATTCAACACGTTCAATTCTGGTCAACAAACACTTGAGGCTCTAAGGGTACAGAGAAGAAAGATGACATAGTCCTGGTGATAAATTGATAGAAGAGGCCAAAGA